TGATATTTTCGTATTTCTACTGCAAATACTCGTGGAATTCTTTATAATAACGTCGGAAATCTCAAGGCTGGCATTGATAAAACCATTTATCGTAAACAGTTCGGAAAACCATTTATCGTAAACAGTTCGGAAAATTTGGTAGATGCGCGGGCTTTAACCTAACCAAAGAGCCTGTTCGCGGAGAAGTGAACCGTCTAGTGATGGGCGGCGATACCAGGATTTTTAATTCGATACCGATACCGATACTTTTAAGATCGGTATCGGCCGATACCGATCCTATTTCGATACCAAAATGAACACAAAATTTCAATTTTCGATACCGGAAGTGAGTACTTAAATTGCTTGTATCGGCTACTTTCGATACCTGCCGGTCAGCGGAAAAACATTTTACATTACTGTATGTAACCTAAATAAAGCTATATGTAAACCAAAAGCCTGAAACGTAATAAATATTTTCTATACATGACTTTGCGCACCACATTTGAAATATTAAGACTTATTTTAGTGGTTCATTAAGTCTTATTCAACCAAGAAGTGAAATTAAACAAGTCGTTTAAAAAAGGGTGCAAGTATCGAACGATCCACGTCAGTAATCGATAGCGATACCGCTGTATCGCTGGTATCGAATACCGAGTACTCAGTATCGCCCATCACTACCACTCTATATAACCATATAACGTTCTAAACTTTTTCTAAACCTCTTATCGACAGCATATGGCGACTACTGTTCCAGTACACGCCAAAAATGACGAAAAATTAGCACGGTAGTAATGAAATTACCAGTGGCGTAACGGGAGGGTGTCAGGGTGTCCAGTGACGGGGGGCCCCCGAACTTTAGGGGCCCCCGACAAAAATGACCATAAAAAATTTGATAGCACATTTCTGGGGAATTGAATTACGAAAAACAGACAGATAGGCAGCTACCTGTTGTGGAGTTGCTTATTAATGTGATTATGTTATAATTTTGCGAAAAACAAATAAACAATGCTGCGTAGCCTGCAAGTCAAACAAAAACGTGCAAAGTCAAAGATCTTAAGCTTTATACGCCTTCCGACGCCGATAAAATAAGGTATTTCGCATTTCGTAGTCTCTTCTTGCAAGCGATGGCGCCGTCGACAAAACATCAAAAAAGGTAATTGCTGCCGAAGGCAGCAGCCTCTTATTCTTGACGATGTGTTATAGCGCATTTGAATTTCCCGCCAACAGTTTTATAAAGTTGAAGCGTATCTCGATTTTGTGTCGTTCACGTTTTTGTCAGCAGTTGTGACGTCAAATTATGACGTAGAAGTAAGGAATTTACATTGGAGCATTAGCATACCCCAGGAGTTCACAATAGCAAATCGATGACTGCCGAATATTTTGTTCAGCGACTGCGAACGACGTTCCAAGTATGGCGTTTACAGCAAAAATATTTCGATCAGCAAGCTTTGTAGCATATTTTTAATTAACACGAGGTCAGGAGCGAAGCAAAGACATACAGCTTTGTATAAATACTGGCCTTATATTCAAGTTGTGTGAGAAAGGGAGATCGTTTACAGGTATGCCAATTTGTTTAATTTATTAATGTAGCATATTCATCACAAACTATAATGTTTCCTGACATATAAAAGGGGGTATTTTCAGATATCTTCTAAAAATTATTAGTGGATCATTGTTTCCTAGTGAACTCCAGCAAGATTGTATCTAATGTTGTTTATATCTATTTCAGGTTCGTATTGGCATCATTTGCATTAATACAGATTCTTGCATGGGCCATTGTGTTCACGCTGATCAACAACAATCTGATCAGACATTCTTGCAAGTGTGACTTGCTATTATCAATATATGTTCAAACAAAGCGAAGTGTGAACTCGCTATTCAAACCAAGCGAAGTATTTGCTCGCTATCAATATAAAATCAGGCGTGATTTGCGTCTGCTGACTACATACATAACAAGGCATAATTTGTGCCTCAACAACAAACAAACAAACACTGTTTTTGTGTCTATTCTCTATAAACACAGTAACACACACAGCATATTGTACTATATACAGAATATACAACACAAAATTTTGACAAGACAAAATGGGAGAAACTATTGAACAATATCGTGTCAGAATTGGAATGCACAATTGTGTCAGAATGAGAAAGAATTCATGTCAAAATATTTATCTGGGAAACATGGTCATAGGATTGAATGTGTTTCTGCTTGTTGTAACAATAAGAATATTAATCCTTATGGTGATACTATACCTCACTGTGTATTTACCAACACATACAGCATTTTGCATTAAAATTTCAAGTCAAATGACAATGTCATTTAATCAAATGTCATGTAACAATGTGTATGTGTCTCTGTTATTAAGAATGGCAAATGATGTTGAAGAAAATCCTGGACCCACAGTATATGATGTGGTAGATCCAAACAAAACAATATGTGCCGATTTTAGCCAAAATTTAGGCAAAATGCTGGTAAGCAATGTTTAGCAATGTCGTTGACTGCAATAATACACAATCACATTCTGAATGTTAGTATGTGGGATACATCATTATTGAACAATATAATGGTTGTGGGTAATAATCTTTATACTTTTATAAGCAACTCTGTTAACAAAAGCTATTTACTTTTAACTGATGTTCCAGAACTTGTATCAGTTTTTGACAACATTTATAGTTTACTATTCAGTGAGCCTTTGGCTGGAGATCTGTTTATGGAAACTACCAAATGAATTTACCTTACTATTCTCTGGAGAATGCTCTTTATAATTTGTTTGATGATTCTCAGTTTAATTATCAACATTGTATGCTAACAATAAATTGCAACACTATTGCAATTATTAAAACTCCTGAAGGTAATTTTAGAATTTTTGATTCTCATTCAAGAGATTCATATGGCATACCACACCCATTTGGAAAATGTGTGTTAATTTCAGTTGAAGATATACGTACATAACCTTACAACCTATTTTCAAAACACTGTTCCTCGAGGCGATGCAATACCATTTGAAATAAAGAGGGGTAACTGTTGAGCTTGCAAGTGCAAATTAATGTTTGCATGTAAAACAATGCGGGTCTGAGGAACCAGAACCTCACAAACAAAAGCGACTGGATGATAATAGAACGTATCAAAAAATTAAACAAGCAGCTGAGACTGATTCAGAAAGACAATTAAGACGTAGAAATGTCAGGGAAAGTAAAAAAAAAAAAGCAAGCCACAGAGCCAAGCTTTGTAAAGCAACTTAGACTTGAAAATAGAAGAAAACGAGACAGTTGTAAGAAAGCTGTAGAAACTGAGTCTGAGCAGCAAAATAGACTTGAAAATTATCGCAACTACCAGATATTAAAAAAAATGGCAGAGAGTGAAAGTGAGAGACAAACACGATTAAAAATTGATTGTGAGTATAGAAGAAAAAAACGAGCAAATGAAACTGGTGTTCAGCAGCAAGCCAAGAAAAGCAGAACTTCACAAGAATTGGAAACAAATGTTGATACCAATTCTCGTCCGAGCTGTTCAATCAATGACAGTGAGACTAAAAATCAAGATAATTATATTTGAAAGAATTTGACTCAATTAAGAATGGTAGTATTCATGAACAATTTTGGGCAAAAGCTAATATTAAGAAGTTTCATAAATCTGTTAATTTTTTTTCATCAGTAAATGTTCCATTTGTCATGAGGCATGGCCTCTTAAATCTAAACCAAAATCACCAAGTGATTATGAATGTTCGCGATGTTCTAGAGATAAAAAATCTCCTGAAAAGTTTTCACTTGAAAATTCAATGATCCCTTCTGCTATCCCACAGGAGTTAAAAGATTTGACTCAAGTTGAGGAAATGTTGATTGCTCGAGCACTCCCAATCATGAGAGTCTATATTAAACCAGGTGGACAACGAGGTTACTCAGGGCATTGTATCAACTTGCCACAAAATATAAAGGAACTGGCTACATCTTTGCCAAGATATCCAAATGAATTGTCTGTTATCATTGTCAAAGCTAAAGGTAAAAATAACACATTTAAAGATTTGACTGTAAGGAAACAAAAAGTGCACAATGCTTTATTATGGCTAATACAAAATAACCCTCATTATTGTGATTTACAAATTAATACAACTGCATTAAATTCCTTGCCTGAAAATGGTGTACCACCAGATCTCATGACTGTTGAGACTGATGATGATATAGTCTCAGATGATAGTTGTTCTCCTGATTTTGGTCCTCCTACTGATAACCCCTCTGAGGATATTGTATATAATGACTCAACTGAAATGAGTAGTTTTCTACCTGTTGGTGAACAACAACAACAGGAAATTGAAGCTGTTAGAAAACAACTTTCTGAAAATGAACCCATGCCTTTGCCTACAATTGAAACTGAACCAATTAATGAATATCAGATATCACATTTGGCCACAATGGCTTTCCCAACATTATTTCCTGATGGGAAAGGCGACCCTACTAATTCAGGTATATTAATTAAGAGACGTTCCTCTTCAAGAACGAATTAAGCATCTTCTCAAATTTGCTGAAGTTATTCATGGTAAATGGATCTACCGTTTTTCCAGCCATCCCAGATTTTCATATTGGGCTTTTAATATGATCCAAAGAAAACGTATTTTGCAGCAAAGTGGGATATTTCTAAAACAAAATCCAGGTGAAGCGCATCTCACTATTGATGAACTATGAGAAGTGGCTGCTAGTAACAATGCTAATGTTTTCATGTCCAAGCTTTCTAGGTATGTTGGCAATATTGCCGGCGCTAATGCTTACTGGAGTAGAGTAAGAGAAGAACTCAAAGCCATTATAACTAGTGTTGGAGCACCAACATTATTTTTTACTTTCTCCTCTGCAGATATGCATTGGCCTGAGTTACATGCTTTATTTAAAGCTGATACCGAGGCAGAGACTGGTAATTCTACCAGTGACGTAAGACGACAAAATGTGATTAACAATCCTCATATTGTAGATTGGTTTTTCACACAAAGATTAGAAAGCTTTGTAAACCACTGGCTTTATAATACACTTGGTGCAAAATGGCACTGGTTTCGATATGAATATGAAGGCAGAGGTAGTATCCATTGTCATGGTACTGCTAAACTAAATAATGACCCAGGTTTGTGTCATCTTACTCAGACTGCTTTGAAAGGTTTCTTAGCTCAAAAATTTAAAGATGAAAATGATTGTTCTGACACAACTGAACTAGACCAGGATATTGAAGCTGGTCAGAAAGCAGCTGACACAGTATGTCAATATGTTGATTGGTTATTATCAACCGTCAATCCTAATCCACCAGATGAGGACATGTGGATAAGACCTGAGTTTCATCCGTGTCAAAGAAGCCATCATGACATTCCTGAACATGAAAAACAATCAGATTATGTAGATCTATTAAACATGGTTCAACGACACACTCGTTGTAGTACAAGTTATTGTCTTAGAAAGAAGTCAAATGAAACAGACTTGAAATGTAGATTTCATTTTCCTTTTGATATTTGTCCTCAGACAAAATTAGAATTTGAAAAAATTCATACCTCAGGTGATAATGAGCATTATCGAGCTAAGATTGTGACTAAACGAAATGACTCTAGGTTAAATAACCATCAACAACTTCAACTCCAAGGATGGAGAGCTAACTGTGATATTCAAGTTGTTATTGATCACTATGCTTGTGTTGAATATCTCACAAAATATGCAGCTAAAAGTGAGCCAAGGTCACCTGTATTGAAACAGGCATTCAATTCTATTGTGCAAAATGTTGACAGTAATACTGAGCCTCGTAGAGTTATTAAGAAGGTAGTTATGAAATCTCTTGGTGAAAGAGATTATGCAGCTCAAGAGACAATGCATCATTTGTTGTCTTTGAAACTTCACAGCTCATCCTTTAAAGTGATGCCAGTTAGTCTAAATGGTTCACGTAGAGTGCGTGATACTGCAAGTATTGACGAGGGTGAATCGTGCACCGATTATTCACTTCTTGATGTGTATGCAAATCGTGAACAATATGAGAGTTCACAAAATATAATAAATATGAACTTTGTTCAATTTGCTACAACATACAAAGTTGTTAACAATGAACTGACAAAATTGCCAGAGAATATTATACCACGAATATTTCCAACATATTCTGCTAATCCCAGAGGTCCAAATTTTGGCCTATATTGTAAATATCAACTTTTGAGGTATAAACCCTGGAAAACAACCCAAAATAATGCATGGGGTGACCAAGGACCGACTGACGAGGTTCTGACCAATTGTTGGCATGAATTTTTACAAACAGCTTATGGGCAGTCTAATGTCCCAGACTGGTTTGATAAATTACAAGCTGTCATTCAAAGTCAAGAATCAGAAGATGAACCTTCTGAAGAACAGGAGACAACTCGAGAAGAGTGGATGATATTATCAGACCTCAACACTCCTTTTGGCAACTCTGAACAAATATCAGAGTCCACATATGACTGGCATCTTGACAGAGCCAATTATTCAGAACAGCAAATCCAAGAAATGCCAACATGGATAAAAACAAACAAAGAGGAATACGCTATTGATGAGCAATATGATGTTGTTGACATTAACAGTTTTAGTGAAACGCAAAAACTTACTTATGACATTGTTAAGTCTCATTTTGATGATGTATCATCCGAGAAAGAGCCATTATGTCTCATTATAAATGGTGTTGCAGGAACTGGTAAAAGTTACCTTATTAATGCTATTAGAAATCTTTTGCAAAGTAAATGTGCTGTTACTGTTACTGTTACCACAGGTAAAGCAGCTTATAACATTAGAGGTGTAACTGTGCATTCTCTATTAAAGTTACTTATAGGATCAAGAGGTAATAAAGACCTAACAGGACAAAGCTCGTGTAGGTTACAAGAGAGTGTTAATAACATTGGATACATCATTATTGATGAATACTCCATGCTTGGCCAAGTTACTTTTGGTTGGATAGACAAGCGTTGCAAACAAGCAACTGGTTATAATGACCAAGTATTTGGAGGAAAATCCTTGATTTTAACTGGTGATCCAGGTCAATTGCCACCAGTAGCAGATAAACCTCTTTACCATGCTAGACCATCAAACGCTGTTGGTGAACAAGGTTATCAAGCATATCATATGTTTGACAAAGTTGTTAAACTCACTGTAAATCAACGTGTGCAAGGTATGACATCTGAGCAAGTACAGTTCAGAGATTTGTTATTGCGACTTCGCAAAGGTGACTCAACAGTTGATGACTGGAAGTTACTTCTGACACGTCAACCATCAAATGTCACTAATTTATGTGATTTTGAAGATTCTACTAGACTCTTTTATAGTAATGAACAAGTTGGTAATTACAACCATGAGCAGCTAACAAAACTTGAGCATCCAATTGCTCATATTAATGCTCGCCATTCATCAGCATTGGCCAAAAAGATATCCTCAGACGATATGTCTGGGTTAGAACCTGTTGTGTTTCTAGCAAAAGGTGCTAGGGTTATGTTAACTATGAATTTGTGGTCAAGTGTTGGCCTCTGCAATGGGGCTACTGGAACAGTTGTTGATATTATCTATCAGAACAACCATCAACCACCTGACTTACCTATTGCAGTAATAGTAGAATTTGAAAACTATAGAGGACTTGTTTTTAATGAAAACCAACCATTGTGTATCCCAATATGGATATCCAATCACTGTCACATCACAGACAGAAATAGGTTTCCATGAGAGGCAACAGTTACCTCTTAGGCTTGCTTGGGCTCTAACAATACACAAGAGCCAAGGACTTACACTTCCAAAAGCATGGATAGATATTGGCAAATCTGAAAGAACTGCTGGAGTTTCTTATGTTGCTATTAGCAGAGTAAAATCACCTGCATCTTGTGTCATTGAACCAATGACATATGAACGATTAACAAGCTTGAAATCATCAGTTAACTTACAATATAGGCTTGAAGAAGAAAACAGGCTAGATCAGTTAGCACAGGCCACTAGCAGTGCATTTAGAACAACAAACTATTGAGTTTGAATAAGAGAGGGATTTCATATATGGATCCCAGTTATAGTTTGGTATGTACTTTGAGTATATACCTTTTAAATAATTTAATTTATTATATAATAACTAATTTACTCCTTGTTATCACTGTATGTATGAAAATATTATGATTTGCAAAACAGAAGAATGGTAAGTTTTTTTGTTTGTTTAACCCCTCCCCCTGCCCTTCTTTTATTTTCACTCAGTTATGTGCCACTATGTTTCCACATAAATATCTCATGCTACCAATTATTTTTTTCTATAGTTTCGCAATTCTGACGGATGTGAATGGTGCCATGTTAACTGCTGGATGAAACCGACCAAATGGTTGTTATAGTCAAAATATAATATGGATATATTACTGTTCATCTCATGAAAATGGATAGGAGCTTCTGAATTAACAGAAATGTATTTCTATTAAAACAAGAATGCTGATTTACAAGATTGGATATATTACATAATACATCTAATGCAATGGGATATGGAATCTGCCATGTATTATTATTAAATTACTGTACTTATTTCCAATCTACCATATGGATGTCAGGAACATTGTATGTCTACTATGTCGAGATATTACATACCTTTATTATATGTACAGTAGCCTGACAAGTTATTGGACAATATGATGGCCAACAATGGACTATTATTACTTGGAAAGAATATGAAAGCTTGCAACAAACTAATCATATCATGTTAAAAGACATTATGTTTGTTCTTCCTAATTGTGCTCTTCTAGACGTTTTGACAAGTGAAGACGACCTAAAACATTGGTACAAACAATCACATGTGTAAATGTGGAAATCTGGAATACAGTTTACAGTATATAATAATTATTGCATTATTAAACAAAATAAATTCATACATACAGTGTATTTACATTATAAGGCAATTTAAATAAATAAGTTTTTTGGTATAATCAATCCCCAGGACTTTGGGTTGAAAGGCAGCACTCCCCTTGCGATAGTAACTTATAGTATAATAGTATTCATACTTTATTCTCTGTAAGTGTTGGTTGTAGATCTTGTGACAATCATCTTGTCTGCAATGAAATGGCCGGGCCACCTAATTTAGGCTCTTTGCAGATCATCAGCTTTTTGAACAAAATCCTTTATTTCCCCTCTGCTCACAAATGTGAAGCAGCCACTAACTGCTCACAAATGTGAAGCAGCCACTGTGATTTGGCATGTCTTGGCAAGGTGTCATCATATGACGGAAGTGCTGGAAAATATAATATGTACAGGAAAGAGTGTATTATACATTAACAATGTGGAACATGCTCACAATATATTTTATTTACTCACAAAAGCAGGCACATATTGAACAGACTTGAATTGAAGAACTTCTCTCCTTGCCCTTTATGTTTTTTACCCACTGACCAGTGTTTTTACCCCATTTCATTCTCCAACATCCTGACATAATTATTTCATATCCTATTACACTGCTAGAATTTGCAGTAAGTATAAGTATACTCACATTCCATTGTCACCATATCTGACATTTCCATGAATGCAGCACCATATATGTGCCTCCACCTCTCTGTCATTAAACTCTTTGTACTCGTTGTATTTCTTATCCGATGCCTTGAGCAGCAGTTGTCTTCCCAGTTCTGTTCAGACTTGAACGTGTTGTGCCTAATTCACCTGCAGAGCTATTTTTCACATATCTATCAAAATCAATCTATATTGTTCAACGAAAAGAGGATATTGCAATATTTGAAAATGCTTTTCAAAAAAATTTATTTCCTTAATTGACCTTGTACTTTTTTGTGTAAGATAAAGTAGCCAATTGCATTATGAATACTGTACAGTAAATTTTTCAATGCACAGGGTGGTTATCAATTTTACTCCTTTTTTAAAATTAGAACAGAAAAATCTTCACCCATAATATAGACCAATTAATTTATTACCTTGTACAATGTGCCAAATCAGCAAATTCTGTACTAACACCCTCCAACTTATCAAACTTGTTCTCCCCAACTCTGTAAGTCCACTGAACATTCCTTGCCCATTCTTCAAAAAGCTGATCACCATGTATAGCCAGGGCCGCCGAGAGGTTGGCGGGGGCCCGCGGCAAAATTTTTTTTAGGGGGCCCCTATCTAAAAAATCCCCCCCCCCCCGTCACCAAACATTTTTAGGTCAGTGTACCATTTTAGGGGTAAAAAATTTTTCAAATGCCAAAATTCGGTAATTAGCCCAAAAACACAGATCTCTTGTCCTTTGCGCAGAAATATTTAACACACAAAAAAGGCTGGGGCCCAGCAAAAATTTTTCAGGGGCCCCCAGCAACTCGGGGCCCGGGGCAATTTGCCCCCCCCCCCTGCCCCCCCTCTCTGCAGCCATGTGCATAGCAACTGGACTGATTATTTCTTTATTCCCTGTATCATTAATAAATGCTGGCACATATCTATCTTGGTTGGAAATCATGAGCTGTGCCATTTCCCCAGATATGTTTGCATTTACAAATTCCAAATCCAGGGAACACTACAACAGAGAAATATCTATGAGTATGTTCGAATGTGATGTTATAAAATATTAAATGCAATATTCTGCATGTACTGTTCTATAGTTTTCCATTTTAAGCTATGAAGCAAATATAACTTACAATTTCAGACTTCTGTGCCATTTCAGTGGAGTATTTATGTGGAATGTGCCATAATGCATGGTTATCGAGATACTGAAATTCTTATGAGGTATGTGGTAAACAACTCGGCTTACAAGCACAGCCCATCGCTTTTGCAGTCATAAGCAAGTGGCTTCATCTGGAAGCAAGCTTGAAAGTTGGATTTTATTTACTGGCTTCTGCCTTTCGGTTGTCTCCAATGTACGATCTACAACTCTGTCTCTGATGCCATATTGGTGGGTCCAGTGTATAGATTGATTATTGTGTGATTTGCTTTGTACTCTAGCATGAACTTCAAAGTCTAGATTGTCACCAACAATCCTTTAAATAAAAATCAAAAATGCCTGTTATCCCATTTATTTTAAAATATAAGACAGGTGATTTTTGACAACTATCTTAGGAGGATGGGGGATGCTGCAATTAATAAACCCTTCTGGAATGTACTTAGCCTTGGCTATTAAGAGGCAGTCTCCGTAAAAGCGATCCACTGCATTTTGGATCGGAAAATAGTTTTCTCCCAGACTTTTACCGTGAAATAGCACATACCAGTGAGTTATGAAACTGACTTTGGTTTTTCAATTTTCATAAAAATAATGTTTTTACAGCGCGTTAGTTCCAGGCGACCGTGTTCGCTGAATTTGCACTTTTCATCGACTGAAAATTAGACATATTTAAGACATTACAGCTCACGGAATATAGAACCAAGATCTTTTTTCTCAGTCTTGTTCATTCATTCAAGTGCAAAATTCAAGCGAAATTTTGAATGTCGAGAGAAATGCGGGGGGAGAAAAAAATACGAATGATACTCGTTTACTGCTTTCTTAAAATCACAACAAACTGACCCTCAGAAAATAGCTTTGATGTCCTAAGTCCAGCACTAAAAACCTAAAGCTTCTATTCCAATCTACGGATGTATAAAAAGGATTGATAAAAACATTTTGCACTTTTTATTTAGATTATGCACAACAACCTCAAACTTTCTGTGTTTTTAATGCAAATTACATTAGTTAGCTTTACCAGGCTTGTAAAGAGTACAACGATTTGGACTATAATACTAGATCCACTGAACAGTTAGGAAACTTTAGGAATGAACTTCTCAAATCTCTATCTTCATAATACTCATACGGTATATTTAAAATGTAACTTACTAACTCTTTGTATCCTTGTAGGCTGTGTGCACGGTGTTGATACCCAAAGCCGTAACAAGCATGGTCTTAGCATGCCGTGACCATGTCTAAGCTAATTAGGCATGCTATCCTTAAGTTCAGCATGCCTAGTGTCGTATATATCCTTGCAACCAATAACATTTGCCGACCGGCACAATTTTCAAACAGGATGAGAATGCATAAGTGTGTGTTACCGTGTGAATTTGCACTCTGCTTTAATAAAGAATGTCAACAACACTAGTAGAATAAGTGTCTGTTTTCAAATTTTAGGTTTGAGCCCTAGTGTTTTGCAGCATATATGTTCACTTCAAAATCATTGTACTATAAAACAAATAAGGTGATTGCTAGTGTTCTATTGGTACCAGAATGATTATGTAAAGTTAATATTGCTGTATACAGTAATTTAGTGCATTCTTGCCGTTTTAATAGGTTTTGTATTTTTACCAGTGGCAGTATACATGTGGCAGTATACAATGAATTGTGAACAGTATTCCCCGAGCCGACGGCGCGAAGCGCCGTGCGAGGGTACTAATTCCCCCCGGCTATTTACACCCGGGGAAGGGAAGCATTAGCGAAGTCTAAAGTTCATCAAATATCGCGGGCGTGGGTCACTGTGCGTGTTTCGGTGGGTGGTCATCCTCACTGATCTCATAATATAGCGGACTGTAATGAATAGCCAACACTGAGTGGTCCAATTTAAAATTGGCATTATAACGGCTGCATGACGATTGACGACAGCGAAATTGATTTGATGATTTCTTGCAAATATATTTCATTTTTGCAAGATTTTGTAAATTGCAAAGGATTTTTGATGAAATAAAGGCAAGAGGATTGCTAAAAGAAGGAAGTAAAGGTGCCGACGTTAACGAAGGTAAGTCTGTTTTAAATATTGATGCATTGTTTGCTTTCAATATACTGTAATCTCGGCTGTAATTACTTTAAAAGCCGATCGTTGCGTATATAAAATATGAAACAAGACAGCGTATTATTTCAGTGTTTCTTTATTGATTACACTTTTTATTATACTAAGAAAAGTTATTTACATGGGAGAATTTGGAATCATTTTATTTCGAACTCAAAGTTTATCGATAAAGGCAGTTTAGTTCTATATTAAAAGAACACTTTCAAACGTTTTGCGAAGCGTTTGTGGTTGAATTTTACCGTAAATTGAAGCTTATATTACGTATAATAACATACCTACTGTAATTACTTTAAAAGCCGATCGTTGTGTATAAATATGAAACAAGACAGCGTATTATTTCAGTGTTTCTTTATTGATTACACTTTTTATTATACTAAGCAAAGTTATTTGCATGGGAGAATGTGGAATCATTTTATTTCGAACTCAAAGTTTATCGATAAAGGCAGTTTAGTTCTATAGTAAAAGAACATTTTAAAACGTTTTGCGAAGCGTTTGTGGTTGAATTTTACCTTAAATTCAAGCTTATATTACGTATAATAACATACCTAACATTATATGTTTAGGAAATTGATAATTTTGTAATTAAAAGTGATATTTATAGGGGATTTTTCATTTGTAAAAATATTCTTAAAAAATTATCGTGTTACCATGACAACTACTTAAAATACTTCACGTTCGGAAAATAAAATGGTTTTGTCAGCAAGGCGAGGGTTTCTGCATGCATGTATTTTCTAGTATTGTTATAATGTGGCAGCATACAATGAATTGTGAACCAAATACTTTATGTACATAGTGATATAGGCGTACAACTAGTGTAGTGTTTCAATTAAAGATACAGAGTGAATATTCAAACCCGGCAGTCCAACCACCCGTTTGGGAATTTTAGTATAGAAATAATTTTGTGTCAAAATCAACATGTACTATAAACAACAATAATTTTTTCACAATAAAATTTTATTGAATGTTGCACAAAGCCAAAGGATGAAGAGTTATACACAAAGAAGTAATTTTTAAAAGTGAAGAGATTAGAAATACATTAAATAAAACTTTTCTAGCTTACTATATAAGTTACTATATATAAGCAGTATAAGTATATAGATATTGTCATATTGTTTTGTATCGGTGTGTTGCACACTGACTAATATAATTAGCTTTTCGTTGTTGATCTTTATTTTCTGGTTTTCTGTCAACCACTAAAGTTAGGAAATACATATAAATAATAAGGAATAGGCATATAAGTCTGACCTATGCTTTATAGTTGTCATTTTCAAAATCAACATGTACTAATATTAATAATAACAAAAATAATTTTTTCACAACAAAATTTTATCATTGAATGTTACACAAAGGACAAAGTTATACACTGGGGCCATGCGGCTTTATTGGGATAAGAAAAACCCTGATCTACCAGCCATCTTTTTAGAAGCTAAGATTGTATTGTATTAAATAATTACATTGTTTTGAGAATTGTTTGCTATAATATATTGTATTAATGTGAGAAATACTAATGAGTAACAACAGTAAAATTGATTTCTCATGGTAAACAGCATGCATATAAGCAATAGGGAGAGGACACATGTCTAATTGTCAGTTTACCCAATTACAGATGACTTGAAAGAGTTGGGAAAAAAAAGAAACGAAGTTCTCAAAGACAATTTTAATACTTTGATGACTGCGGAAGACAAATAATGTATCGAAACACTTTGAGAAAAAACCATGTCAGACATCCACTAAACGACCAGTAGAAAAAATTACTGAATTAAACACTAAAAATAATGTAACAGGCCTAGGGAAGCTGCCAGTCATCACTACCCAAGAAATTGTAAATGTTCCTGATGAAAGCAATAATATTTCTCCTGTCACTGGTATACGACCTCTAAATCCTCCAGCGAACCTTGCAACCACCAATGCTTTGGCAGTTCCATCCGTATCTGCTACTTCATCTGTTTTACATGCTACTGTTGTTTCATATGACGATCTATCAACTGCTGCACCCATTATTCCTTCCTCGTCTATTTTACTTTCTTCAACTGCTTCTTCATCGTTCACCGCTCTTCCATCATTGTACAGCTCAAACATACATCCCATTGTATCTGTTCCAAACCACAATCATTAATCTATTTTGCCCACCATTACATTGCCTCAAACATCTGTTCCATGAAGTTTAGCTGCCTCAAACAATATATTTTCTGTAATGTTATTATAATATGTTATAATATTATGTGGAACAGATAATAATACAAAGTTCCTCTTGAGTAGTGTAACCTGTAATAATTCACCTGAGTTCTAACACCACAGCAACCACAGTTATAACGTATATAAAACATAGCCTATAGCACAAAAGCTATTAAAATTGCTGTCAAGTTATAATTAACAAGGATTGACATGAAATTAAGGTGTTAAACTATAATTATTTAAGTAATATGTGTTTGCTGCCGAATAGGAACACTGTACTAAAATTTGTTCGTTAGATCTAAAGTAATGAACAGTTACCAGACACCAGTATTGGGAAAACAGCATATGCTGCATAATATGCACAATAGTGACTACAGGATACTAGTTTACCCATTGGATAATCAATGCTGTCTATGGTGGAATTTGTCACATAATATTTTTTGATTTCAAAATATTTAAGACTGTCTCATATTTAACATGCACATGTTTGACTTGACAATATAACAGGCTGCGAAATGTACTTGTGTCCGCTATATGTGTATTTATTCCGTATTCATGTGAAAGGAATAATGCTCTAAACAATATTTTTAAACATATTTCAATTATAAACGTGTGGCGTGTTAGTTATGTGACTTGCTCAAGAAAGTGAAATTTCGTGGTCATTCAGAGTGGAAAATATATTGTGCGGCACATGCGTATAAAAGATTTTTCACCACACACTCTCTTCGAAATCAAGATATAAAATTTGATATGCGCAAACAGTATAGGTACGAAAGGCAGATATAATACTATTACAATATTATATTGTAGTGTTATTATAATATGTTATAATATTATGTGGAACAGATAACAATACAAAATTATTAACTTGACCCGAGCGTACAAAACTCCTGCGCATTAAAATATGCTGTGTCATGCACACAATGATAATTGTTTAAAATCCATGCAAAGACTCCAGTATATCCATATGTAGCTCTTTGGAAATTTCTAATTACAGTGGTTGTGCTTGGATATCGGATACACACAATTCGAGGCAAATATAAACTGATATTTGCAGCATAAATGGCAGCTCCTTTCTCTCTTACTAGTTCATAATAATGAGAACTTGAAGCTCACTGTCTGGCAAGGAAATATCCACGAATGATCTCGGCTCCTGGTGGGTATGTAGCTCCCCAATCATCTCTTTCTTCAGTCTATAGCACCTCTTGGCTGTCTCCAGTTACTTGAAGTAAATAGTACTCTCCTCCGTCAGCAGAAGCAATAGTGACAATTGCATCTTTCATTGCTAGGTGTTTTATTGCTTCTAGTGTCGTAGAAATGTCCCCTCTGGTAACGTCAGTGGGTTGATGACCACCCTTGTTCCAGTTCTTGTTCTTCCCAGTCATCAGTATAAGCAGAATTTTCACAAGATTCGTAGGACCAATCTAAACATGCATCACAATAACATGACAGAAGCCTCGAACTTAAACTGCAACCACTGTCCGTTGACACAACTGAATGGATAGATCTATTCCCCTTGATTTCTTTAAAATACCTATTAGGGTGCATCATACGCCCCTACTGTTTACTATTAGCCCTACCTTTTTTTTGCTAGTGAGGTTCATCCTAAGTAATAAAACTGTGAAGTTTAGAATTGCTTGGACAATTTTTAGGGATAGCAGGTACCCCGTTCCCATTACGGCATGTACAATAGAATGAAAATAGCCCAGATGTGCAATATCTTAGCTTAAGATGACCATAGAGACTTTATTTTGGTATCAAATTATGCAGAATTCCCAAGTTTATATGTCACATCTTAATATTTTATAGGTCTAAAACCTTTATTTTACAAGTTATCCTTTATAATAGTCAAATTTGAGCATTTGGTCAGTTTTTGTATTATATTATGTTACACAAGCAATTAAATTTTTCCGTATTTTTTAATAAGATTGCTAAGAGTAACTGTAAAATATGGCTGGCATGTTATCCTCTGAACTGCACTACTTTGTAGTTCTAAACAAATCTACCATTAATATAAAGATCATTAGTAGTTCAATACATTTAAATATTGCTGCATGTTCCATTGTTCAATTTAAAGAGTGAGGTACCATGAAGATGAAAACAGTTTTCTCTTTCTTGCATTTGGTAGTGTATGTCTGGAGTTTTCAACTACCTGCAATACTCGCTGGTAGCGTTCTTCCTTAACAGCTGTTCCCAGAAAATCGTAACCAAGCTTGGCACCTCTCTATGCAGCATTGTTTACCGCACTGATGCTATTTACAATGAGCTTAGCTTTT